TAGCTGAAGGAGTTCTATCACCTGATCCTTGTATTTCAGCAGCTAAGTAACGGATCAGCACCTGAAAATAATAAAAGAAACGAGCAAAAACCCACCGCAGGCCCACCATACCCCAAGCATCCTCGCAGAATAGCCATATCTATCGACCACGTTAGCAAACTCGAGCTACGATCGTCATGAGAACTACGGCTCACTCCAATGTAGCGTCGTATCCGATGGCACTGCTGCGTGCGTGGAGGTAGTTCGGATACTCGAAGCACCATGTTTGAGCTCCTCCCGAATCTGATTACTGCAATATGGCAAAAATTTGCTAATCACTTTCTCGGGTTGAACGCGTGCAAGACATGCGACGAGTTGCCCGAAAGCACGGACAGCATTAGATCTAGCGTTGGTCGTACCATAGTCATATACCAACTTCAAGACAAGGTCGAACAGTGGATCGGAAAGTTGAAGACAGAGAATGTCCAAAGTACCCTTGAGCGATTTCAGTACAGCTTCCTCCATCTTTCCACCAGTGGTGTTCTTCTTTCCGCCTTCCTCCGGTAAATTTTCGTATAGCGCGAACACGCGCCGGAAAAGCGAGGTCACCCAGTCTGCAAAACCAGCCGTACTTTCACGAGCCAGGGTACGCTCTTCTTCGCGGCTTAGTCTTGTCTCAGGTCCTTGCTCTGTGCCGTCTGGTAGACGACTTCCTTCAGGATTATCAATGTTCATCGACTCTTCTACAATGTCTCCGGAGAGCGGTGCGCCTCCTTGTTGCATAGACAGGTCACCAATCTTCATATGTTGGACGACCGATGCAATGAACATAGAAGTACAGGCAGTCTTCAGCGGATCGTTCTGTGATTTGTGTGAGTTATACAACCACTATCACTACTACCTTGACTCTGACCCACCAGATCAATACCTGGTATACATAATTCGAGCAGTGGGGCAATGTGCTTCTGACCGCCAAGCCAGACTTTTTCAGAAACCAGCGGTAATGCGCCACTAGCAAGAGCCGTCAATATTGCAGTTGTCCTGTGTGTCTCGTTAACGAGTTCCAGTCCGCTATACGCTCGCTCGAGGATCTCCGGCATGATAAGATCAGGTTCTAGCATAGCCAAGGTACGCAAGGCACCTTGAGAATAAGTGGCTGAAATAGGATCTTTTGCGAAGATAGCGAGTAGCGTCGGTGTTCGTAGGATGGTCACGAACGCTCGTTTGATGGTAGGCGTGAGCCGACGAGTCTGAGATGGAATAAAAAATCATGTCAAAATAATAGAATCCTAATCTGTACGTACTACTGGCGTATAGCAAGTCGACTGTTGCTCCTCCTTCCAACGTTTGCAGAATTCGACTGCAAGACGATGCAGGAATCCCGTGAGCTACATAGGGAGAAAATCAAGTAATTATCAGTTAATCTACGAATCAGAAATATTTACTTACAGCCAAAGTCCAATGCCCTGTATTCGATGGATGGAAAAAAGACTCAGTACTCGTCAGTAGTTTATCGAGAGTATCAAGAGCCCTCGATCCGGCAAGAAGGAACCCCTGTTGGGCTGAGTCTCTCCCAACACCACTCGAACTAGCTATTTCACGAATAGGTCCGTCCAGAGACATCGAGTACACAAAAATTTTGGCCAATGCACCTATAAAACACATCAGTAAATTTCCGAAGTCGGCAAGGATAAATGCGATTTACTATATTTGCCTATAGGCTTCGTGATACGGACAGAACTTTTGTCTGCCATGGTATCGGCATGTCCTCCAGTAGTGCTGGCACCCTAGATGCATTTAGTTTAACGCAATGCTTGTCTCCACATGACCGACCATTACATACCCGTACGGCTCCAACAGGAACATCTGGGGAAATAGTCAGAATCCAGCAAAGCAGAGTATTTCGATAGTTTACTCACTCATGGCACCTAAAGCCTTGGTCGCGAGGACTGCCCATTCAGATTGGGTCCAGATACCAATATCTTTCCACTCCGCTATCCCTTCTTCTCCTGTACCGTTGTCTTTCCCAGAGACGTGCTCTTCTGATAGCTCACCGCATAGCTCGAGAAGACGGTCGTCAATGATATGAGAGTTGAATGCCTCCCACAATTTGAAGAGCATTGGCAGATAGAGATGGGTGTGTGTAGGAGGAAAGAATGCTGTCATTACCGGAAGCATGGTAAGTATATTCTAAAATAGCAATCAGTCTATGTTATTTGAGTCGGAAGATATTGTTACATACGTCTTGAGTAACCATCGGTAAAAATGTAGATAGCATATCAGGAATTTCCAAAGGGGAGAAATAACGTCTGCATGTTTCGGCGACAAACAGCAAGACGTTAACGACGTTCCGTCTAGGGGTTTAAGAGTGAATTAGAGGCTGGACACGCCATACAAATAACAATGCCTACAACGCGTCGTGCACTCTGCGCTTGGGCCAAAGTTCTCTCTTCAAGACGCGCCACAACGGCTGCCAAGGTAACTGGAGGTCATTAGACTCCAACTTCCGTCGTTGATCTGGTTTGTTGGATAACAAACGAGACAACATATCCGCCCAGCTGCGTATTACCCGAGGCTCTAAGCCGGGCAGGATGCAGAGTTCATAATACAGCCGTGCGAGTTTAGCACGAGTTGGTTTGGGAATGGGGTATCTTAAGAGTAGCCAGCTGCGATCGAGTAAATATCGGACAGTTGGATGGTAGAATATTTGCATACCATTGCAGCGCGCCATCCCATGTCGTGAGAACTAACCAATTCCTGCTCTTGGCACACATGGCAATCTTTCCTACTATATACTCCAGTTTGGCTTTCATGTCGTTGACAGACTCGCATTCGTACGGCAAGGAATCCAGGTAGGTTTGCAGAATGGCATCCGATTTTTCCGCGGAGGAGTCGTCAGACTCGATGGGCGAGTCCAATACAGACATTCCATCATCTTCGTCCATAATCGTAGAAAGAAAAGCGCGAGGTAAAACGCCTGATCTAGAGGCTTGGATAGCCTTCAGGACGGTAGAGGCAAGGTCATCCATGGTGGTTTTTCGGTCGAGGATATAGGTTGGTAAGACTGACCTTTAAATAGGAGAAATATGGCTGACGCGGCCTTACGAATACACAGCGCCACTACTGCGGTTCTAGCTCCTCCTGGACGGCGTGAAGGTCGTCGTGTGTGTTCAGGACGCGTATGCTGGAACGCGTCAGTGTCTTGTGGCTCGCCCTCTGTAAACCGCACGTCACGCGCCGAGCGCTTGCATAATGCAACCGTTCATCGTGATCCGGTCTCAGTAGACGCCCATAGACGTGGCCGCCGAACATTTCCATATATGGGGTCCAGGGCGGGCATTCCTAAAAGGCGGACGTCGGCTTCAGCGACTCAGGCTCTTACTAGTTGTACGGCCCTTACTGTGGCCCAACACTCAGCAAGTTCCGGGACGTTAGTCTGTGTATCCCTTTACGCTCTCGACATCGACAACCTCAACTTTGCTGTGCTGCTATGTTCCCTCTACTTCAGCCTCTGGCTTGTCGGGCCCTGTCAGCAACTATCGTTCGCTCGTCCACACGTCGTGCTGTTCACACTAATACTGCAAATGTGGCACGAAACGTCAGGCCGTGGGTTTGGGTCTCTGCCTTTGCTGCGACGGCGCTGCTACTAAGCAAGTCGGCAATAAAGCTTGACAGCCCGCCTCCCGACGAAACAGGTGCGAGCTGACATCCACTATAATCCTCGTATCTCTGACCGAACTTCAATATTAATCAGTGGACGTTGCATCGTCGATTGCGTTTCCCAATACTCTCAGAATACCTTCCAAAGTGCCCCTGCCCACACTGACCTTGATTGGTGTTGGTGTGCGCACCGTGTCTTTCCTAGGCATCAAAGTATACTCGGTGGGCTTCTATGCTGACCTCCAAAATGCTAATCTGGATGTAAGCGGAACATTTGGTTCATGGAAGTATAAATTTTATGAATTACTGCTGGCTTTGATGTCAGCTCCCCGCGACGGCCTCACCTCAGGAGAAGCTCGAACACATCGTAAAGAACTCGGCCTGTGTTCTTCGAATTGGTATGTGTAGCATATTTCTGTCTACGTGTTAACAATGCCTAAGCATGATTAGTCCCTACACGCTCGACGTCTTTCTCACACCTCCGTGACGGATTCATGCGATCTCTTCAAGGACGTATGGCTCTCTTCCGGCAGCGTGGTATTCTGTCGAAAGAAGAGGAGTTCTCTATTCAATCACCGCTTCACAAATTCAAGACCATGTTCCCAAACACACCCTTAGCAAAACACACCCCATTGGATATTTTGTTGGCACCTCCGGAGCCGCAGCAGCCTCGCACCCTCATTATTCGGGATCTCGGTTCTGTACAGCACGACTGGCTTGCAAAAGAGTTCTTCTTGGCGTACTTTGAAGGCGATGGGATCAGTCCTCCGGTATGTCCGTCGCTTTGAAGGAAACCCTCTTTATTGAAGCTTGTATTTTTCCCCCTACAGATGAAGAAATCGGTTTTCGCAAGGCTCGAGGAGATTGGCTGGTGATTCGTTCGGTTTAGAGTCTCAGTGCATGGAGTTACAGCCTTGTAATATTAGATTCGTAAATCCATTCGAATTTCGCGAAGTAAACTTTGTGAGAGCATTATCCGGGTCGGGCAGCCAGACTCTCTCCCTACAACGGCTAGGTACCGTTGAGAAGTCGGCGAACACTCGCAGTCGTATTAGTAGTAAGTCACCTACTAGGTGACTCTGCCTGTAAGGACAGTTTTGTACTTCGGGCCCAGTCACTATAAACTTTAAGCTTCTTGGCTATTCATAAGCCATATAGAGTACTACATAATTACCAAGTTATTTATCATGGAATAAGAACTTGAATCACTGAAGGTAAGGAGACAACTCTTGGGATTGCAGAACTAACCAGTGTTGATAGATCCGCATTTACTATTACTCTGATCGTCACTACTTTGTACAGTTGGTAAAGAACTTCTCTTTCCAATATATGTATATTTCTATAGAGCTTTCCCTTTTATATCCCGTTTAGCTCAGCTGGTAGAGCGCGTCACTAGTATTATTTATGTAATACGGCAATGACGAGGTCAGTCGTTCAAGTCGGCTAATGGGAATGTTTTGTTTTGCGACTTGTTAATTATCGTGGACCAACCCACGTCTTGTACTCCGCCGATACGCAAGCGTAGCCGTCTCCTACACATAACGGTCATCATGATTCATGCGGTACTCATCTGTCTGAGTTCATCTTGCTTCACGATCCAAACGATAGCTAACTCTTAGCTTTTGCAGTTAATACCTCTGGTGTCCCTCGTCTCACCAAGTTCTACACACCGCTCCAACAATCCTCGCAAACCTTAGTACAGAAGATCTATTCGCTGGTGTCCTCTCGACAAGCTTCTTTATGCAATTTCTTGGATGCGCCCGAGCTAGAGAGCTTCCTGGGCCAGACTGACGACAACGGGGAGAAGTTAAGAGTGGTATACAGGAACTACGCGACGCTGTACTTTGTGTTTGTAGTGGACAGTGCTGAGAGCGAGTTGGGTATTCTGGACCTCATTCAGGTGCGCTAAGAGCCTCGTAATGCGAATATACCTCGTTTACGATCCACATGCATGATCCTCATGTCCAGGTATTCGTGGAGTCGTTAGACCGTGCGTTTGAGAACGTATGCGAATTGGATTTAGTCTATCACTTCGACGAGGTCTGTAGCCCCTACAAAATTTATGATGACTTTGACCAAAGATCCTTGTACGTATAGGCCCATCACATACTGTCGGAAGTGATCCAAGGAGGTCTTGTGTTGGAGACAAACGTTGAAGAAATCGACCGGGCAGGTATGCTTGGACTCCTTGCAGTACATATTATAATTTCTAACTTCGCGATCTTGCTGTGAAATGTTGAACCCAGTGCAAGAAGCTGCGAAAGCTCGTAAAGAATCCTTCGCCTCTGCTAATCCGCTTTCATTGGGTGGTGGAGGAGTAGGTTCCCGTGGAGGAACCCTGCAAACACCACTGCATTGGATAACTGATAGATTGACTGGTGTCCGTGCGCGATAAAAGTTGCGATAATAGAATGGCACTCGAAGCTGTAGTCTCAGCTAGCACATGTAAACATGTAGTTGTAACATTAATTAATAACACTCTACCCTTGGTGGCCCGGTAGCCATTCTAGTAATAATACATCATACTATCGAATCATATTGCATCATAGCAGAGATGTGAGTGCTATCGCCAGTGAACAGGACTATTTTAGCCGTGTAGGAGTACACATGAAGAGAAGTTCTGCTCTGAGTGCGTGTGTATATGCATGCCTCAATCAGCGACGCGCCCAAGTTTGCGCAGTGGATCTACCCGTTTCAGATGCAGAATTCAGAGGGACCCAGGTTGTTCTTGCCGCCTTGAACACGAAGGAGCCCCATGCCAGCCGAAAACGGTCACCAGGAATGGGTCACCAGGACGGGATCACGCAGTGCTTGAACGTGAGGAAAATGGGACTTGGCATTCTGCGCGCAAGACAGGGAGGTAAAATACCGGAGAACTTATTTGTCTTATAGCGGGCTGCTAGAAGAATTAAATGATATGAATACTTCGTGCAATCCAAGAGACTGCACGGTAGAAGTGGATCACTGCGCGACGGACCCTCCTAAAATCAAAGCCGGGTGAGAAATTATATACCCTGACAAAATCTATACAATATACTTTTTTTCTTTTTCTTATTTGCCGCACTCGGAGTTTTCGCTGGAGCTGACTCCTGGGATGTAGAAGTAGGCACACCTACGGTCCTCGAGCTCGGGCTCGCCTGTGATGCCGGAGCAGGTGTGGTAGAAGAACGCCCTACGCTCGCAGATGCAGGTGTATCCGGCATATTCGATTCCGAAAGTGCTGTGGGCAAAACGAATGATTGGCTAGCGTGAATGGCAGTAGTGCGCATTGCGTTCATCAGCAACGTATTGTTCTGCCTTTTCTTCGCACCACCCGAGGTAACAAGAACTTTCTTTTTGGCCGGCATCTCGGTCAACAATGTCTCCGATGTCTGTGTTGTAGCGGGCTCTCCATCCGCGTCGCGTTTCTTCTCATCCGCTGTAGCAGCCTCCTTAATAGGCCAAACAAACCCCGTTCTAGGCGTATAGGTGGGGCGATGTTGGCGTAATATGTCCAATGAGCTTTGCAGGGAATGCAAAGATGTAAGCTAGATGGTCTAAGATTGAATATATAGGAATGCTTAGAGATGTATACACGTACGTACCAAACGATTAGATACCAAAGTGTATACATCTGGGGACTGGTATATGCGGTTATTCATGATGAAATATGCGACTAGTGGTCGTACTGTGGGCGACACGCGTCACCAAATGATCAACAGCCCATGATGTACAAAGTAGGATTCCTACCTTCATCGGGAGAAAGTCGTTCACGCCTGTGGATAACGAAAAATGAAGGTGGCTGCGCATGGACGACAGCAAACTCTATCCCGGTAAACCGCCTGTAAACACATACGTTAGGACACCGTTATTCGGTGCCATACATGCCTGGTGTAGTAACGTTTACTCACCTGAGCTCCTCGGCTTCATTTTGAAGGGGTATTCCGGTGTGCATTGTCTGCATGCGAAGGACCTGGTTGTTGCTTTGTTTGTCGTAGAACATGGAAGTAGCAAAATAGTCGAAAACATTCTCGTTCGTAAGTGGTCCATTGGCCTGGGTGCAAGGGTAAACACCGACAGTCGGGTACAGTCAAGATTAGTTGAAGAGCGTGACCTGTATCCATTCGTGCCAGATAAAGAACCTGTGGCTGTAATCGTCAGGAGGATGTAAATCGTTGAGGTCCATGTCGCACTGCTCGTTGCCGTCGAAGTCGAAGTGGTGGTCGACGACAGAGATGGGGCTGAGTAGCAGCAAGCGGCAGCGCTGAGTGCTAAATTCCGGCGTCTTAGCGGCTACTGCCCATCCCAGGGTGCCACCTGCACCCACGCTCCGTATTTCTGGAGAGTGGGAACAGCAAGCTGGGTCAACGTATGGCCTCTACCGAATCTCTGTTCCCTACCACATCCCTGGCACCGACCATCGAGCCTCATTATGGTCTCTAATCGAACAGCCCTCCGAGTGCGACTTCTGCCCCTCAAACATGCCGCCTCTTGCTGCCCAAGGCGCGTCCTCGGAGGGTGCAACGACCCCTTCCGAGCAGAGCAAATTCAAGGGACGCAGGTATCGTATCACACGTGCCCTGCAGACAGCCAAGCATCATGTTAAGCATCACGTGAGTACCAGGGTCGTTGGCGAATTCGTCTTCACTAGTATGGCTGACTCGAGTTTATACGGCTAGTTTGGTATAGGCATCGTCTGCTCCGTTGCTTATTTCGATCCGTGAGCAGCTCAAGCGTGGCATCCAGCGATATACCACGTACTAACTCACTCCCAGCGGCAACTGGAGCGTCGATATGCAAGCCGGTTCAGAATTCGGCTATCGACCGTTGTTGTTCATCATTCTACTTGCTGGACTCGGTGCAATCATCCTTCAGGTTTGCGAGGCTTTTCGGCCGCTTTGTACCGCCCGTGACCACACTTACACGATGCTCGTCATAGTCACTTGCTTCTAAACTTGGCTGCGTGACCGGTCAGGGTAAGCAGAACCTCTTTATCAATAGTTTCTCGTCCCTCAATCGATATGCTAGACCTGGCGTCTCACTGTCGAATTCTCTTCCACGACCGCCCAAAATATCGCAAACTCGTTCGATACAGTGTTCTCTATCCACTCTACGTGCTTAGTGAGATTGGCATAGTTTGTACCGACCTTGCGGAACTCATTGGCTCCGCAATCGGCCTGTGCTTGCTCTTCCCCTCGATTCCGCTGTGGACGGCCGTTCTAGTCACTGCTGCGGATGTTTTGGTCTTTCTCCTCATAGGAGGGCCGACCAGAGGTGGCAAGCCAGTGAAGGTCTTCGAAGCCGTAATTATTGTGTTGGTCGGTGCTTGTTCGTATCTTCAGCTTGTTAGCCATATCTCTAATAAACTCATCCGCTCAGGTTATGGCAGTCTTCGCATGTTTCGTTGTGCTCTTGGTCAAGGTGGAACCCGACTGGGGGGACGCATTCCTAGGGTATATTCCATCAACAAAGCTCTTTGACACACATACCGATGTGCTTTATGTTGGTACGCTTCTATGTCTCATCTGGTTGTCTCGTCAAGAGCTGACACCATCAATGTAGCGGTCGGTATACTGGGAGCCACTGTCATGCCGCATGCTCTATTCCTTGGCTCATTCTTAGCTACTTTGAATAGGACAGGGTCGAACAACAAGCCTCTGCCATATCCAATCCAAACCAACGATAAAACGGTTGTTCACCCACCTGCAGTGCATTTTAGGGCATGGTTCAAATCACTCTTCGAAGTCAGTCGCGCCGAGCGGATAGCTGCTTCGCGCGAATATAGGACCCAATACGGACGGCAAAATAACGAATTATCTTTTGTCCAGAGCCATCTTAATCATGGCATCGTGGATATTGTAATGAGCTTGATAGGAGTTGCTGTGCCAATAAATTCGGCGTATGTGTTTCAAGCTCTAGATGACTCGTAAACATCAAGTTCTGACTGGTTATACCAGAATCCTGATACTTGCTGCGGCTGTTTTCTTCAAACCTGGTGGCGGAGGTTCCATGCCCGCCAGCCTATTTGATGCACATGAGTTGATCGTCGACCGCATCGGCAATGGTATGAAACTCTATAAATTTCCTTGCGCTGCATAGCCCTCTAACACTACTAGCGTTTTCTCCAGCCGCTGGAGTTGTTTTTGCTCTAGCACTTCTCTTCGCCGGTCAAACGTCGAGCATCACAGCGACACTGGCCGGCCAAGTGGTCTCCGAAGGCTTTATCGAGTGGCGCATCTCGGTGAGCAACTTATCTCGTCACACATGCATGCTGATACTGATACTCCCCAGCCATTCTTGCGCCGGCTTGTCACTCGCATGATCGGGCTCGTGCCATCCATGGTGGTAGCAATCGCTGTGGGCCGTACAGGAATCAATACTCTTCTGGTCGCGTCTCAGGTTGCATTGTCTATAGTTCTACCATTCGTCGCGTTCCCACTTATCTGGCTCACCTCCTCCAAATCAATCATGAGT